TCAAACAAAAGAAACCAGAAAAAACCAAACTAAAACCAACCAACAAACCAAGAAAAAAGAGCATAATTTCTAGTAACAGCAGACCTGACCTGTAAATACAGAATTCATTCACTACTACATACATAAAAAATTTTCAAGAAGTCACCAAATCATTGCTAGATGAGAGATAAAGACATATTAATTTACAGTTCTAATAAGAAAAAATCACAAGATGTATCTTTGGCAAAAGACTATTAAGCAACTGTGAATATTGGTTGAAATTACTGATTCACAAATTTTACACTAAATGGTGTTTTTTAGGTGGGTGCATTTGCTAGCTGTCATGATTACCAAGAGCCACCACTCTAGCATGTGAAGAAGAATTCAGTTCCCCAATACATATTTTTCAAAATAACATGGAGTATCTCACCTTTTCCATTTCACTTATACAGTGCATATCAGCTTCAAGTCCATGGGCACCTGCTTGCTGGTGTATTTCCTCAGCTATGGCTTTTGCCTGCCCCTTTTGTGTTGCATAGAGGAGCAAAAACCTTTTTGACTCACAACACATTTTTTATAGAGACACTGCAGGGAAAAAAAAATTAAAAAGTGAATTTCTCGTAAGCAGAAGAGTTAGATTTTACTTTATTTATGAGATTAAAAAGAGACAAAGATAGCAGCATTGGTGTTCAACTTGGAAATGAGGTACCTACTCTGAAGCTTTATAGATTAGGTTGCAAAGGACCAAAGGTGTTGGTCCCATGTGCTGTACTGCCTTGATGCTGCAGTAATGCTACAATATCTCTGATAAGGAATCTAGTTTGTAAACAATACAACAAGAAAACTTTTAAAATGAAAATATGTACTATTTTTATTACATTATTATATATTTTCCATTGCAAGTTAGCAATTGCTTTGTTCACTTTTCTGAGCTGTCTTTGAAACAAAACAAAACATAGACCTGGTAAAGTCAAACTACAAAGCCTGAGGAAAAAAATTTAAATTCTCAGTTTCTACTTTTCTGAAATCAGTATTTTTTGCTGCAATGACTTTACAATTTATTGTCCACTATGTATTTTGGACCACAAACACTGACTTAATTTTGTATTTCAGAAAGGAGCTACTTACACAAGTGCAACCTGACTCTGAGGTTAGCTCAGTTGGCCAGAACATGATGCTAATAACACCAAGGTGTTGGTTTTGACCCCCACATTGGCGATTCACTTTGGAGGAGTTGGACTTCATGATACTTCTAGGTCCCTTTCCAATGCAGACTATTCTGTGATTCTGTGAATTACAGAACTGACTCTTTGGGTTTTTTTTTTCTCCTAAAAGTAAGAAACAATCTTAGTGAAATCTTCCATGGTGTCACAAAGTCCCTCACAAGCAGCAGGATGAATGAAATGCATATCCTTATCCATGAAAATTTGTCTCATGAAAATTTGAATGCAAGAAGTTTTCTTCCATTATTCTGACACAGAGAAAACCACACACATAACTTCAGGCAGCAGTAAATAAGAGAGAACAGCAGAATGTCTTTAGACTGGGAATTGCAATTAATTTTCTGTCAATATTTTAACATTGCTAAGGAGGTGCAGTAGAACTCAAATACCTAGAATTAGTACTGAGGAATTTTCAGTTTCCAGTCTGAGATACCTCTCCCATGCCTGGGCCCAGTTTGTTGTACTTCACCTAGTGAGTCTACAAAGTTTCAACTACAGAAAACATTTAGTGTCCTAAACAGACACGCTGAGTTATGGAAACCTGTGGCTACATAATTTGAGGCATCTCTTTTTTCTCTATCTCTCAAGGGAAAACATAGTTCAACTGTATAATAATACTATATTCCAATGAAATGTCAGGATATTTCTCCCCACAGTACTTCAGAAGGTTTTCCCTAAAACAATTTTTTTAAAAGTATAAGTATACATCAAAAGTAGCAAAACTAAGTGATAGGTTCTTAAGAGTACCTGTATCATTTCATGAAAAATGCAATTACTAGAAAATTTTGAGGTTTTCATCGTATTTTCTTCTACTATATTTTCTCTTTTAGTTTTAATTTTAAATTACTTACATATATTATCTAAAGTTATTAGTAATTGCCTTAATGGTCACCTTTAAATAAATTTATTTACATAACTGGTTTCATGCACATATGTGCCCAGAAGGTGCATACAACAAAATGATGATTCATATAAAATAGTGTAAATACAGTTTAAATACCCTCAGATCCCTTTAGTAATACAGATTCATCCTGGTCTTGTGCTGTGTTTTCACCTCTTTGTCAGCAGGTGGCATCACCTGACCACAAATGGATAAGACTAATACACCAATAAAGACAAAACGATGCTTTTATTGCTGCACTCTTTCTCATCTTTTTCTCCTCAGAAAGGGAGAAAGATAATCAGTAATTCCCACTAAGACCACACCATAGCACAGAAACCTCCTATACAAGAAAAGCTGAGGTGTAAGCTGCCAATACTGTAAGCCAGGCATTACCAACAAGAGTCTGGTAGAACAAGAGTCAGTTTGGGAAGCTGTTAATATTTGAGAAAATATTGAGAAAAATTTGCAGCAAATATATTGTTAATATTGAGAAAAATTTGCAGCAGTAGGGGCAATGGAGAGGGCAACAGAAGAAACAGCAGCCACGATGTGGTCTGACGTGGTCAGATGTTGCCCTAACAGAGCTATGATCTCTGCCTAAGTTAGGCAGAGCAGACATGATTCCTGTGAGACATTGTGAGCTTTCTACTAGTTTTACTCCAGGTAGTATAGGAACAATAAAGGGTGCAAAAAGTAGCCATACACACACATATATTCACATATATGTGAACTGGGAGAGAGGTTTTTTCTACTAGTGAATGGACCAGTAGATTGCATAGAGACACAAAAATCTGAAGCAACCACACCTCCCCACACACAGCATGTGGAAATAAGTGAACCAACACAGACAGAAGAGTTGATGATGCTGGAGATGCACATGCAGACCTCCTGAGAACAGGTTACTGCCTATGCATGCAACAGTGTGAATTAATCCTTGTGGCAATGAGAGAGAACACAATTAGACAATTCCTTGGTATTAAATACAGAAAGCCGTTTAAATATTTGTGGTATTCATTAACATTTTCCAGATGCCTAGTATTATATCTATTGCACTGTTGCTATTTATCTTATATATTTAATTCAATTAACTGACTAATTTACTTAATTCCCTAAAAGTTAATTATGTCAACAATAGACCAGTAATTCCTTTGATCATGATTTGATCTAAACCGCACAAGTTGAAGAGTTTCACTCTGTGAACATGTCTTCTCTTTGTTATCAATCATAAGATCTTTGTGCAGACTGCTAAGTGATGCCTGCTCAAAGACAGAAAAATCAGTCATGCCTACCTGCAGATGAACAACCATAGACCAGGCACACACCTGCTCTCAGACGAGCATGCTGTTCACACCGCTCTTGCTTTAGACACTCTTCAAAGACACTACACCACTTCCACTTATGTGATACAAGTTTAACTGGAATGAATAGGGAGGAAAAAGATAATTCTTGAGCTATAGAGCTTTCTGAAGAATCCTTGTAACTTTAATAGTACTTCCACACCAGCAGCCCTTAACATGTTGCTGTGCTGATAAACACACATCAAAAAACGTTTAAGCTGGGAAACAACCTGTGATTTGCTGGATCAAACCAGGGCTTAACAAGAAACGAAGGATAAAATTCCAAACTACGGCTCATCTGATTCAATACTTGGAAAAGTCAGAAAGCTAATAGTCCACAGAAGATTAGCAGGGAGTCCAGCAGCTCCCTAAGCCAACAGTGTAGGAGCAGACAAGGCATCCAGGAATGCCGCTGAAGTGCTGCCCCAGCAGTGCCGCAGCTGCATGGCAGGGCCAGACCGCACACATCATGGACCTGCTCTGTCAAATATAAACTTTCACAGGCCGGATGAAAAAAGGCAAGAACCTTCAGTACACACACCGTAAATTATGTCATCAGTAGATGGATAAACTCCTTAGATCCTCATTCAATCTGAACTGCACACATGGAGGAGTTTCACCCTACTGAAACTTAGAAGAACGTCTTCTTTCTATCATTAACCAGAAGAGCTCCACGCGCTCTGTGGCTTTAAGCCCGGTTGTGGGACCGTGCCTTGAGCCATTAAGCCATTCTCAAGACAGTTTTTCAACAGCTTGCGGCTTCCTCAGAAGCATTCTGGGACCAAGACAAATATAAAAGAAAAATACAAACCCTCGGTCCCGCGCACCTGCTCCGCCCAACCCCGGTGTCGCCCCAGCGCGGGGAAAGGGAGTACTTGCTGTGGAGGACGCGGTGTACACGAACACGGGCACGGGTACGGGTACGAATCCCGAAGCAAAGCACCACCGCCAGCCCTCGCTCTGCGACTGCCCGGGCAGCGCCGCGCCGGGCCGGGCCGGAAACAGCGGCTGAGGCAGCGCGAGGAGGAGGCAGGACCGGGGCGGAGCGGAGCGGGGAAAGCCGGGAGGGGCGAGCGAAGGCATCGGAAGGTCCCAGCAAGCGTCGCGCTTCCCGAGATGGCTGCCGAGGTGAGGCCGCCGCGGCTGCCCCGGAATGGCCGGGTGTCTCCCGGGTTGGAGCAGAGCGGCCCTGGCCCGCGGAAGCAGCAGTAGGTGCTGGGGCGGAGGGGAATGGAGGGGCCCCGCAGGTGCCGCCCTGGCCGCGGGAGTGGCGGGCAAAGTGGCGCCCCGCGGCTCCTGCACGAGGGAACGTTCGTGTCCGTCCCCTGTTCGTCTCACAGTGTCCTTGCGGGAACACGGGGCAGCCTATCACATAGGGCTCGCAGCTCCCGGCATTTCTACTCTCTTCATTGCTTTGTGCTCGTGCTTGTGGTTGTGGGAAAGGGATCGTACCCATCTTTCCAGCCACCAAAAGGATTTGGGTTGGGGTTTTTTCCTGCATTTTAGTGACCCCGGTGCTGTTTTCCAGACTACATATCTTTTTTTCTTCCCCTAGGTATCATTTCAGATCTCACTTGATTCAATGTAGCTTTGCTTAGCCGGAAAAGTTTCCAACTATATTCATCCAGCACACCAGAAAGCAGGTCTGCTTTGATGACCCTAAGCAAGAGGTTGAATTTCATCAGTGGGCAGAGAAAACCCCAAAACTGTAGCTCCGTGGCCATAAGGATGCTGTGTGTCAAAGATAAATCTCATATATGTTTTGTAGGAAAAAACACATACAACTGCAGATGGAGCCATTTTCTGTTAATGAAACTATGCATTTTTGTGGCAATATCAGGGACTGTACTAAATCAAATAATGTGTGGATGGATGAACAATTATTTTTCAAGAAGTTTAACAACCTTTCTGTATCAAAAGACATTTTTTACTTTCTTAGCTCTTTAGCTGTCATGTCTGCTACTATGGCCTCAGGAGCCCTGCAGAGGATTTCTGAAGTTGAGGTGGATGACAACGGTCTTAAAAACCCTGAACTGTTAGAGAATAAAGTTTTCAGAGCATTATGCTTACAGTTTGAATTTGAATCCTCAAAACTGTCAAACATGGAGCTGCTGAATGCATTGCAGGCTTTGATAAAGCTTTGTAAAGATCCTCAGAGCACGCTGATGACAAGCCTGCTTTCAGAGAGCAGAGAGCGGCTTGGCAGGGGACAGCTGACTGCTGAAAATCTTTGTGCTCTTGGAGAGAGTTTGCTTGAGTTAGAAGGCCCAAGTTGTGTGATGCTGGAACTAATTGAACTACATGCAAGATAGAGACATTGAGAGGTGGAGTCCCAGGGAAATTAATGATGGTTTATAAGATACTGCAGGTAACTGTGAGGGAAGGGAAACAATGCCCAAACTTGCTAAACAGACTGAACAATGTCACTTTACACAAAGTTTCTGAGCTAAATCTAAGCTTTTCAAGTGTAATACTGAATTCACTGGTGATTCTTTGTCAGACTGGGGCAGTTCCCTTAGTCACTGCACTGTGTAAACATTCAGTGAAGTATGTTCCCTATTTCACAGATCATGAACTGGTAAATGTACTGGAAGCTTTCCTATACTTTGGACAAAAATTGCAAATTTTTACAGAGGCACTGGAAAGACATGTCCCCAGGTCCATCCTCACCATGCATCCTCAGTCAGCAAGGTCATACATTATTGCTGCAAAAAGATGATCCTTTCAAAGCCCATCTTTGATAGTAACAGAAGGTTTCATTTCCAATACTGACACTTACCACTGACCAGATTGCTGTGTATATTGTCTCGTTTGGGACTCTTAACTACCTAACTCCAAGTGCTTCTTCCTTGTTTAGGAAGTTTGAAACTGTGCTGCATAGCCACCTGAAGCACTTTGAGCCTCACACCTTGTTGAACTTGTCACAATTGTGTGTCCTTATTCAACGTTATCCAATAAATTTTCTGCCAAGAATATTTAGTCCCTATTTTCTGCAAAAGCTTCAAGGTATGGAGCAGAATTTCCCCTGGGATGTTCCATGCTTCTTTGTTAAATAATTTATCTCTTGTCAAACACCTATTTTTTATCACTTTAATTTGTCAAATCAACAGTGATCTGATCAAAGTGACTGGACAGTAGTGATCAGGCCAAAGGCTGTTGCTTCCTTGTCACAGTTGCCATTGTCTTTCATGTTATGTCATTTAGTTGAATTTGAAAATTGCACTGTACAGTTTTAAAACATAGACCTGAATTCCCTTAAAATAATTATTTCAGTTAATCCTTATGGTTTTCTAAAAAACAGTGACCTGGTGTTCCCCATGTTTGTCCTTTCTTTTATTCATGATGCTAGAACATCCTCCATGTGATAGCCTGTTCTTGGCTGTAATTATTGCATATTTCAGTGCTTTTTGGACACAAATCTGTTATGAACAACACATCATTTTGAGTTATTCTCTATTTGATACTATAGCATTTTTAGGATCATTGTAGAGAGATGTAAGCTATACCAGAAAGGTGACTGACTTAATAAGATTTCAGCTAAGATTGCTCTACTAATAAAACTAAGCTAAAGTTTTTTAAGTGATTAGAAATTTTGATCACTTAATTTTTCAACAACATGAAATACCTAAAGGAGTTGATTTTTACAAAGCAGACAAAGCCCCAGGAATTATTAGGTATTATCCACAAATTGCAGATTAAAAAAAGAAAAAAACAGGAGAGAAACAATGACATACTGGGGTTATAACTTGGAGAAAAGTGGTTATAAGGAGGTATTTATCTAAGACCTCAACTCAAATTTATTCTGCTATGTAGACTGTCCTGCATCTTTTGGATCCTCATTTTTTGGTGAAAGAAAATGACAGTTTTAACTAAGATCTTGCTAGTTTTGTATTCTTGTGTTGATATTTTTGTGAATAATTTTCTCATTTTTCTACCTCTGTTATTTCATACTTATCTTTCTGTTAATTTAAGCAATTATTGAGAATTTTAATGATTAAGTAGTTTTTCTGCACGTTATACTGAATAGCTTTTCCTAACTTCTGCATATGGTTTGTGTAAAGATACTTTGTTGAAGGTACCCCTGAAAACCTGTATGTTGTTGTTTCAGCTCAGCCACCTGGTTTGAACAGAATTGTTATGTCCCAGCTAACCCAGCTTTTTCTGACTGTCACCCTGGAGTGCCCATTTTATGACGTACAGTACATGTCAAACCAGATAAGGTCATTAGAGCCCTGTTTTATACTTAGTTGAGTGTATTTCCCATAAAAAGCTTTGAAACTGGACAAACCAACTTTCCTTGCTGAAAATATGGAACATTTCTATCTGACTGAATGACTTGGTATATTTGTATGAATGGAAACAGCTGTGCATTTTTCATGCACATGATATAGCATTGAAGCTTCCTGAGGATGTTTGGATGGTTGTTTGGTGATTTTAAGTTTCTAGCAGATCAGACCTCAGACTGTAGGTCTCTCAATAGACTTGGCTTTGAAATGCACAGAATACATTTTGCTATGTTAATATGAGGTCATTACAAAAATGTCATCTCCCTCTTTCAATTTGGTTTTCTGTCTTTACCTAGTGTCTGAAACTCCTTTCAAATACCAGGTAAAGGCATGTCCCACACCTCACAGTTCTCCTGACGTTCACCTCTTTAAAAGGGTGAAGACAAGATTACTTTATTTACTGAAAAAAAGAATATATTTTGCATCAGCGGTATCAACACCCTATTTCTATGTAGTTGGTAAGTATAATTTCTTTGGATTAGTAATTTAATCTGTATATGGTGCCAAAGCGTTCATTTCCTTTGTGGGCATTCTAAGTTCTGCAAATGCAGAAAAAGTAAACTGGGATACAAATTTCTATAAAATATCTGAAGTTTGGGAACTTTAAGTAAATAATTTATAAAGTCAGAGAAAGGAAAATGGAGAGAAAAGCACAGCATTAATTGGTATTTACGCAGCCACTCTGCATTGAAAACAGCTGCTAACAGCTGCTTGTATTCTGTATTTTTAATATCACCTCTTTATCTGTTAAACAATTTGTATAATGTAAAGCAAAATCAGGCAATGCCACTTGCCTGATCTCTCTGCTTTAGTGGTGAGTAGAGAAAGGAAAGTGGTCAGCTGGCTGCCCTGCTCAGCTGGACTCCTCTCCCCTCAGCAAGAGCTGTTAGCAACACAGTCAATGGGGTTTGTGGGTTGTAAGACAGGAGTGAGCAAAATAAACTGTTGTGTGCAGCAGGAAACACAGAAGGCAGTGATGAGGAAAGGCACATGCCCAGGAGAGGTGGATGATAATAATGTTGTAAATAAAATTAGAATTAGACAACTAGGTCTATTGAGTTAGCAGCAATTTAATAACAAAAAAAAAAAGAAAACAAATTAGTGAATTGAATACAAGAATACAATTTAATAGAAGAATACAATTTAGTGAATTGAATAGTAATTTGGTATAAAAGGAATACAATTTAGTAAAAGAGTACAATTTAGTCAATACATTCAGATATATATATATATATGTATGTGTGTGTGTGTATGTGTGTGTGTGTGTGAATACAGTTTGGCAGTATTTGAGTATGATTAAAGCATAAGCAAAACCGACGGTGGTACGGGGAGGGCTTCTCACCCCACCTCACGTATGAAAACAACTGGGGTACAGAGAATGGCTTCTCACCCTACCTCATGTATGAAATAAAGCAATTCAAGCTAAACTTACATACTATATGCTTATACATATTCATTAATGTTTCCCGTAAATTTCCTCCTACTTCCAATTCTTAAAATTTACATCACTATTCTTCATGGCCTCACTTGTTGCTAGGGGGTCTTCAGTCTTCTTTCAGTGGTCTTTGGATGAAGATTTACACTCCTTCTTGTTGTCCTCTGGATAACCTTACAGGTTGTGTGTGCGTACTAAGCGTTGTGTGATGTAAGTAAGCATTATGTTCTACTAATTAGTCTTACATTTTATCATTTCAGGCCTTATGTTTAAAGTTATTTCAACTTTGTCCATCTCAAGGTCGAATTTTGTCTTGGGACATTACTTATCTTAAAACTACATCCTGTATCCTATTTTTAACATGCAACATCTATAAAGGGGTCCATCTGCCTTGTAACACTGATTCCCTTTATTGCTTTATAATAATAACTTTTCAAGTATTTGCAATTTAGTTAGCACAAATCATCTCCATTTATTACAATAAGATGTTGAGGAAAGGGAGTCTTGGACACCATGGATGTCAGAGGGATTTAAAAAAAAATTAAATTTTTTTTT